ATTTATTTATTAGTTATCAAGTGAAATGAAAACAGTTCCCTAATATTAATTAATATCTTCCATTCAAAAATATTGTGATTTTTCTAAAATAAATAAATTCTTAAATTAATGTAGTAAGAATCAGAACTTGAAGATTTTTCAATAGATTGGTCTCAAGTAATTAAACCTAAGTTAAGTGAAAAGAGAATAAAAAAAAAAGAAATTAAGTAGGATATATAAACAAAAGTTAATGTTTTTGACAAAATCTCAATTTGTTTCAGATATAGGATTGCCACATTAATTACTCAACTGGGGAAACCACAATATTACTGCAAATTTGATCCAAAATTAAAAAAAACAATCCAATCAAATAATAAATAAAAGAAAAAATTAGAAGAATAGTTATCTAAAATTGCTACTCAATTAGAATTGAGTTGTCGATTTATAACTAGATCAATGTTTTAAATTACAAGATAACCTTTACTGAAATCAATGAAAAGTAAATATTATAAAATTATGAATCAGTTGATATAAGAAGCATTTTGAATAAAGCAATGAAGGATAAAGAATTTTAGAAATTATATTTGGATTTAGATGATTAAAGTGAAGAATAAAGGAAAAAAGAAGAAGAAACTGAAAAAATCTTAGCTTAAATATAACCATTATCTGAATCTGAAGTCAGAGAAGGAATTGAAAAATTGCGGAAAAAACACAATTTAAATCAAAATTAATATTTATATGTAATATAAGGGGAATATTTTAATGATATGAAAAATTTATTTAATTCATTAGGTACAGAATTCGGTTACTTTTTTTATTAGGTTGGGTAGAAATTGAAGATGTTTATACATAGATTTATGATTTCAAATTTTGTTACTTAAAGAAGTTTTTACATAAACCTATTCCAGAATAAGTTGTCAGTAGATTTGCTAGTGCAAAATTATTGACAACAAAGTTTGGATTAGCAAGATCTTTGAAAAGTTGTTATATTTTAGGAGGAGTAGACTCCAATACTTTCTTTCCTAGATGTTATGATTTGAGTGATGAAAATGATTTTGAAGATTTTTTGGAAGAATATAAATTTACTTTTGCAGAAAACTATCTTAAGAAAAACCCTAAGGATGAAGAAAAGATAAATATTGCAATAGAAATATTAAATTATAAGTTAATGCCAATTTAAGATAAAATCAATAGAATTGTAAAATTTACTATATAATTAGACTTGCGAAGATTATCCTATTTGTACTCCTCAATAATGGTAAATTTTATATAAAAAATCTGAACCAAAGCAAGAAATCATTTAATTTAATAATCCAAACATAATGGAATCAATTAAAAATATATTATAAAATCTTCGTGATATTGACCCTTAATATAAAATTTCTAAGGGTGAGAATATTTGGGTTACAAAACCTTGTGGGTTGTCTAGAGGAAGAGGAGTCAAATATTTTAAGGAATTAGAAGATATACTAGCTTATACCTTTGGAGCCAAGGATGTGAATTTCGTGGCTTAAAAGTGCTTAGAAAATATTATGACAATATAAAAAAGGAAATTTGATATAAGATAATGGATAATTGTATCAGATATTTAACCTTTGACAATTTGGATGTATAAAGAATGTTACATTCGATTTTGTGGTGTTGAGTATAATACAGATGATTTAAAAAATAGGTATTAAGTAGTTTTAAGAAAATTAATAGATATGCTCATCTAACGAATTTCAGTGTGCAAAAATAAAATGAAGACAATTAGGAGGAGAAGTTAATGATGACTTAAGAGGAATTTTCTTAAATTTTAAAGGAAAGAGGATTTGACTTTGAGAGGGAAGTTAGACAAAAATTCAAAAACATTATTATAGCCACAATGAAATCTTGTAAAAAGTCTTTTGAGATAAGAAAGAATACTTTTGAAGTGTTTGGATTAGATTTCATAGTTGATGATGATTGCAATCCTTGGTTAATAGAAGTTAATGCTTCTCCAACGTTTGCATTTTCAACACCTGTAACTGAAAGATTAAATAAAATGGGTTTAACAGATTTGGGACATTTCATTGTGGAATATATCTATAATAAAACAAAAAAAAAGAATTATGGTGGATGGGAATTAATTTATAAATAAAAATTATGAATTTAATTTATATAGTAACTTTACTGATGTTCTAAAATTATGAATAATTTTTATAGATATATTTAATAATACAATATTGAATATTAATTCAAGATCAATTAATTAGATAACATAGAAGTTTTTGTAATTCATTTTTATTGACAGGTTTGCTTATGTAATGAGACATACCTAACTCATAACAATATTATTTTGTTTCGCTATCAGTGAAAGCAGTGCAAGCAATAATTATGGGAGCATCATTTTTATATTTCTCAATTATGGCTCTTGTAGTAGCAAATCCATCCATTATTGGCATATTGATATCCATAAAAATAAAACTATATTAACAATGAGCTAGTCATATATATGAATCAATGTTTACCTTATTCCAATTTAGCAAGTGCCTCTTGGCCATTATAAGAGGAATCTGATTCTAAATTGAATGATTTTAGCATAAGTTGCAACCCAAGGATATTAATCATCTCATCATCAACAATTAGAATCTATTTACAATTACAATCAACAATAACATTATCAATTTCATCATAAGAACATTACTTACTGGATTTATTTTATTATGTAAGAGTTGATAATCTGATATTTTAAAATTGCAGTCTTCTTTAATATTCCATATCATTTGTTTCCTCATTAATACTGTCTTAATCCCTTTTAGTATGTTACATTTATATTCCGAAAAGAGTCCCCAATTTATCCTTAGTAGTGAGTTTCTTCATAAAATGTTCTTTTACAGGATCATCATGAAAACTGTTTACCTTGGGCACCATTATCGTGCTAAACTTTTTATTAAATGGAATTTTGAGAGCACTTAACCCAAACTCAATCTAAGATTGTTTGATATCAATAACCGCATTCCTTCCTACTTTTATTATTCCACTGGAATTATCTTATGGTGCAGTGAGAGTATAAGTGAGACTGAAAGGTTCATTAATAATTTTGAATATTACTTTTGTGCCTTTAATATCTGAACTGCTTTAATATCTAATGCCACCTCCTTCTTCGTATTTCAGATTGCTTAAACTCATGGCTATTTTATTACATAAGAAACTGCCTAATCCAAATCCAGCGGTGTTATTTGAGATCTTTTTCTCCTATTTATACTCATATTTAAGCATTTCAGTAAGACTATCAATTTCTGCATTAGTCATTCCTATGCCAGTATCTTCGATTTCAAATTAAACATATTTATTTTAATCAATTGATTTTACAACTATTTTGATACCTCCCGAGAAAGTAAATTTTTAAGCATTTTGAATCAATGTTATTAATATTTATTTGAGTCTTCTTCCATCAGTTAAGATGGTTTTCTCAGCTAAGAAGATTTCATATGTAATTTTGAGTCCTTTTTGTTAGAGAGTATGGAAAAAGATATTCATTACTTCTTCCAACAACTAACTGATCTATGTTATTATAAAATTTTACATCTATCTTTTCTAATTGTAATTCTAGTTTCTTGCCTTAAATATTATTATAATCAACCATATCTAATACAAAATTATGCATTATCAATCCCATAGATTTAATGGGCATGAAATAAGAAAGTAGTTCAGAATCAGTGTATTTTTCTATTCCAACTTAGGCTATGGCCAATAAATAATTTAAGGAAGTTCCAAATTCATGAGACATTGTACTTAACAATTATTTCAAAATGGCAAATATATATTTCTATTTTTAATATCTGTCTCTTTCCTCTAATTCTAATAACTAGATTTAGAATTCACGTTAATAAATAATTTTTATAAAGTGATTGTTTAATTATGGATGGCTATAATCCAGAATTTGAATTATCATTGGTATTCTGTTAGCTCTAATTTAATCTAATAAATTTTGTAGAGAACATCCTGAGCTCTTCCATTAGAGTATAGTTTTAGATTAAGAGTCAATTTTATTGACAATTAAATCACGTAAAATTGATTACAAACCGTTTTCTATATTGTTAAGAATTGAGCTTGATCTCTCGCATCCTATTACATTAAATTAATCATCCAGATATATTATTGAGAAATTAGGATCTGTTATTCTTTCAGTTAAGCTTCTAGGGTTAGAGTCATACCCTGTATATTAAATTCTTGAGTGGATCATGATTTGTGGTTTCTTTTGATCTTTTTCAAATTATGCATAAAGATTGAAGCCTTGGATAATCAATAAACCAAGAAAAGTAAATATGCTACGAAAAATTTAATGTATTTCTATCTCAGTTCCAAATATAAATATAATGAGTAGTAAAACTATTTTTTATATTTGTGAAGTATATACCTGACCATTCTATTATTAATAGTCGGGAAATCTATTGATAGGCTGTTAAACGAACTATTATGTGATACGCCCCTGTAAAATATTTATATTATGAATTCGGCATCAAAACGAAAATTAAGATTGCTTAACCCAACAGCATTGTCCTTTATAAAAGCTCAGGAAGATTAAATTTATTTAGCAGAAGCAACACCACAATACCAGTGAGCTCTAATACTAATGCTATAATTTCTTTTGGTTCTTCAAACTCTGTAAAGGCTATAATTGTTGAAATAGTCTATGTTGTAATCAGACTAATAAAAATTTTCATAATTTAATAACAATACTACAAAATAAAATTACTTAATCAATAACAAAAAACAACAAAATATAATAATTTTGATGATGATGATGTAACAATATCTATTTCTTATTATTTTATTTAAAACAATTTATCAACATCAAATATAAATATACTTTGCATTCAAATTCAATAAAAATATTAGTTTAAATTATTAATATTATACAAATATACGTATGCCTCTTAATATAAAAATGTAATAATCCCAATATCAAGTTTCTAATTCTTTAATAATCAGAAAAGATTAATAATAATGTATTTAGCATTTATTTATTGTGAGTAATAAAATAAAGAAATCACTAGATGCCTGAGATTATAAAAATACTTATGAATTACTAGCAGAAAAATGTTTAATATTAAGTAATGCTTTACCAGGATGCTCTCCTGAATTAATTGTTGAAGAATTTTTAAGGTTGTAGAGAAATGTTACAGTTACTTTATAGATAAAATCAAAAAAAGTAATAGCACATCTATAAGCATATTTTAATCATGATAATCAAGTTGATAGGATATTTAAATTATGCAACTGATATATATTGAAGATGCTTAAATCTAATTGAAAAAAATTTAACAAAAATAATGATGATGATTTTGTAATGTAAAATTTGACTAATCCTGTAAATTAAATCCAAACTCACTCTATGACTTTGGTATTGAAAGAAATTAAAATCTGCAAAATCTGATAGAAAAAGTATACACAGAATAACTAGATTTTTCAGCATAATGCTAATTTTGTGGTTAATTAGAGTAATTATGAAATGCTAATCAACTTCAAACATTAAACAAACTATTCAATAATTAGAACCAGTTTTAGTTAAATTGAGTCACAAAATTAATTTAAACTTAAACTTAATCAATATAAGGACAATAAACTTAATAATTGTTAGTTTAATCAAATAACTAATTTTCATGTTAGATATAATAATGTTAATAGCAATAATTATAATAGCCACAAGATTCTTTATGGTTAAATAAATCATAAACGATTCCAATTGAAACTGGAAATCAATTATAAATTGAAGTTATGCCTTAATTAAGAGCTTGTACACATGAATTAATGAAAAATTATGATAAATAATAGAAAAAGATCTAAAAATACATTGCAAAATTATTATGGATCTCATAGAAATAATACATTAAGAGATTAAACTTGTGTAATAAAGTAAATTCTTTTATATTTGACCTATAAATGAAAAATATTCATTTATAGGTCAGATATAAGTACTAAGTCCCCTTGTCTCTAATTCAAGATCATATTTTTTTTTGCAGTGTGTTGCATGTCCTAATTACAAATTTAGCACTATTGGTTTAATTAGATAATTCTAAGCGTTCATAAAGAGTTCCCATCCATCCATATTCACCTGTCCAGCAATAATTAGTAAAAAACAATGAATTGATTACCTAAAAAAACCGCCACCATCTATTAAAATTCATTAAAAACTATTATAACACGATGCAATTTTTAAATCGTATCACACATCATTAAGTATCCTCTCTTACTCGACAAACAGATTAACTTTGTGACATTTAAATAAATTTTTGTGATACTTAATTTTTATTTTGACTTTTTATGATTGAAAACAATAAATCAATATTTTTATGTTTAAGATTATTTTCTGATGGATTTTTTGACTTCTCTTATTTGTTAGACTTAATAAAAATAATTAAAAAGATAATAAAAATAATTTCTATTTTTCATTTAAAGATGTTTAAAAGTGAATTTTAGTGCAATTTGAAAGACTATCCTTAACAGAACTACTCAGAATTCATCAAAGGAATCATTGATTCTGATTAAACCTTAGAAAATATTTTTAATGGTGATTAAGGATAATTTGAAGAATTTAAGATTTATTTGAAAAGCAAGATTTTCAATGATCCAAATGAAATACAATAGCATCTTACCAATATATATAATTAATGGAACACTTAATCTAAAGTTGTAATTAAAAGGATAGAAATTTTCAGACTTATAATGCTAATGTACTTAGGATTATTAGAGAGGAATTTCTCTCAAGGCGGATTTTATATTATTGATATGAGTTCAATAAAATATACGAATAATTACATTTCTAAATAGAAATTGAAATGTTTTTAGAACTATATCAAGACATTTTACTTAAATTCTGATGCCATTTAAAATGATCAATTAATATTTACTAAAAATACTGTTAACAAAGAAGAGTTCAAAAAGAAGTTTGAATAATCAATTTATTAGAACATTGATTTTGAATTCACTTAATTGAAAAATGAAGATCACCAAAATTCTACTGTTGTAGACTTTGCTGATTAAAATATAGGAGGACTAGTTCTTGATACTAGAAATTGTGCATAAGAAGAAGTAAAATNTTCTTTATGGTTAAATAAATCATAAACGATTCCAATTGAAACTGGAAATCAATTATAAATTGAAGTTATGCCTTAATTAAGAGCTTGTACACATGAATTAATGAAAAATTATGATAAATAATAGAAAAAGATCTAAAAATACATTGCAAAATTATTATGGATCTCATAGAAATAATACATTAAGAGATTAAACTTGTGTAATAAAGTAAATTCTTTTATATTTGACCTATAAATGAAAAATATTCATTTATAGGTCAGATATAAGTACTAAGTCCCCTTGTCTCTAATTCAAGATCATATTTTTTTTTGCAGTGTGTTGCATGTCCTAATTACAAATTTAGCACTATTGGTTTAATTAGATAATTCTAAGCGTTCATAAAGAGTTCCCATCCATCCATATTCACCTGTCCAGCAATAATTAGTAAAAAACAATGAATTGATTACCTAAAAAAACCGCCACCATCTATTAAAATTCATTAAAAACTATTATAACACGATGCAATTTTTAAATCGTATCACACATCATTAAGTATCCTCTCTTACTCGACAAACAGATTAACTTTGTGACATTTAAATAAATTTTTGTGATACTTAATTTTTATTTTGACTTTTTATGATTGAAAACAATAAATCAATATTTTTATGTTTAAGATTATTTTCTGATGGATTTTTTGACTTCTCTTATTTGTTAGACTTAATAAAAATAATTAAAAAGATAATAAAAATAATTTCTATTTTTCATTTAAAGATGTTTAAAAGTGAATTTTAGTGCAATTTGAAAGACTATCCTTAACAGAACTACTCAGAATTCATCAAAGGAATCATTGATTCTGATTAAACCTTAGAAAATATTTTTAATGGTGATTAAGGATAATTTGAAGAATTTAAGATTTATTTGAAAAGCAAGATTTTCAATGATCCAAATGAAATACAATAGCATCTTACCAATATATATAATTAATGGAACACTTAATCTAAAGTTGTAATTAAAAGGATAGAAATTTTCAGACTTATAATGCTAATGTACTTAGGATTATTAGAGAGGAATTTCTCTCAAGGCGGATTTTATATTATTGATATGAGTTCAATAAAATATACGAATAATTACATTTCTAAATAGAAATTGAAATGTTTTTAGAACTATATCAAGACATTTTACTTAAATTCTGATGCCATTTAAAATGATCAATTAATATTTACTAAAAATACTGTTAACAAAGAAGAGTTCAAAAAGAAGTTTGAATAATCAATTTATTAGAACATTGATTTTGAATTCACTTAATTGAAAAATGAAGATCACCAAAATTCTACTGTTGTAGACTTTGCTGATTAAAATATAGGAGGACTAGTTCTTGATACTAGAAATTGTGCATAAGAAGAAGTAAAATTAAATATTAAACCAAGATTGTTATGCTAATATTCCCTGAAGCAACAGTATCTATGATTTTTATTCCACAAATGAATGAAACTGAAGCAGTATTAATTGAAAATTTGAAAAAATACAGCAATTATACTGGATATGAACAATCATTTAATTGCTAACCTTCTATGACTCTTTAGGGAAATTATAATATGCTAGTATATTTTACACAATATTATTTAGGCTATTGATGCAAAACCATTTTATAGTGAAAATTAATTTACAGAAAAAAATATTGAAAGAGAATTAATAAAATGTTATGCAGGGTTTGAAATATCATTAAGAAACTAGCCCAATTGTTATATATCTACAGGAAGATGGGGTTGCGGAATTTTTAGAGGCAATCCTTACTTAAAGACATTGATTTAATTTTTAAGTTTTGCTATTGCAGTTAATTAAGTAAGTCAATAACAATCGAAAATAATTATCAATTGCGTAAATGACTAGTCTTTATTTAATTTTGGAGTTTAGTTAAAGAAATTATTAGGTCAAAAAGGAGTATAGCTTAATTTAATAAATCTCAAGAAATCAATATTGTATATGCAAAATGGAATAAATGAATAAGCATTTTATATTGAAGGAAATAATATTATAAGCTAGATATACACAATTTTGACTCAGGATATTTAATAAATATAAAAATTAAGATTAGAAAATGATGATGATGTAATTTAAGCTTAAATTGATTAAGAAATTAAATAAGTACTTGTAAATGCTCCAATTATTGAAGAAAATAAAGAAATTAAGATGTTAAATAATTAAGAAAAAAAAAATAGAAATTATTAGGTAATAGGGGTAGCCATTATTTTTGCTATTGCCGTTGGAGTCTTTACTTACAAAAAGGTTTTTAAATGAGATATATTCTATATTATTAAAGTATTCATTATTTTTTCAATTAAATTAATATCTAATAAGAAGCATTTGATATGATTGATAAACCAAATAAATAAATATATTTATCAAAGTGCTATTAATAATTTCCTTAATTGTTTTACTTTTATAAAAACATTTATATGTTTTATTTATTCAAATCTGATTTTCAACTAATAAAAAGGGATCATCATCTTAATAATATAGCATAATTATATATCAACTTATTTGAGTCGAAAAAATTTATTATAAAGTTTTTCAAAAGTTAAATTTAGATCAAAAAAATAGTTTTTAATTATTTATTTATTGATTATTTCCTCATTCATTATTTTAATTATGAATGCTAATGGGGGAAGTTAGAAATTAATGAAATGACTAATATCAAGTAAATTAGTAAAATCATTTATTCGAAATTGTACTAATTTTCAAGATATTAACATAAATAATTTTATAAAAAAATACAATAAATTATTTCAACTTTTGATGAATTACAAATTCAAGTCTATTTTAAGTATTAACTCAAAATTTGTATTTTTATTTAAGAAATTTTCAATTTAATTTAACTAATTATAGACTATTCTTGAAATATTTAATAAATGAAATTAATTACAACAAGATATAGTTTAAGAACAATTTTTTTCATTTAGAAATTGATGGTAATTACATTGTTGATTCAAATTAAGCTTTGGATATTCTATTTTTTGAAGTCCCTCAATTAAATAAATCTATTATCTTTTATGATAATCTTAGCCTTACTCCAATATTTATCTAAAAAATCTTGAGGTTTGAATAATATTTTTTTGAATTGATTTGTAATTAAATAAACATAGATTTTTCTTTTATTTTTGTTTGTGAGAATAAAACTTGAGAATAACCAAATTTTGATATATATATCAATATCAATTTCAAATTTATATAAAAAGATCAAAAAAAAATTAAGCTAATATCTGTATAATCAACAAGAAAGTAATAGAATTAATAAACTTCAAGTATAGAATTGATTAATTTTTAAATTATGTAGATTATATTATTGCATTTGTATTAAGGCCATTATTTCCATTAATGTCAATGAATTTCAAATGTTATATCATAATATAGATCGAACAACTTTTGTTTGAAATTGTTTTAAACACATAATCTTAAAGATTCAGCTTGAGCTTTAATTCACTTAGCCTCAATTCAAGAGTATATAACAATAAATTTCTTCTGTTCTTAGAATGCTCCTAATAACTCTTCAAATTCATTTATATTTTTGATTTGAGACCATCACATTACTGGATTATATTATTTAAAAACATAATCTAACTTTAGAATATGGCAATTGTACTATAATATACAATTAGACAATTATTTACATTAATTTGAGTAGGAGTAAATCAAATTAATGATATAATAAACTTTCAAAATAAAAATAAATGCGGAGATATTTTAATATCTGTGTCTATAATTACTTGCTTTAATTGTTAGATTAAGATATAATTGCATTGAAAAGTTCAGTATTTGAAATTATATTAATTTAAGAAATTTAACAATAAATTCTTCAGAATATGATCTAAGTTAAGAAATAAATAACTCAGGATGCATTACTATCGATTCATCTAATAGTTTGCTAAATTTCAACATGATTAATGTTGTATTTTTTAATATTTATAATTGTATTGTAGCATGAATTTAGACAATAATTCCTTCTTTTTAAAATAAAAATCAAACTTTTAAAATATGATAATTAAAAATTTTATTTCATTGTGACGTCTTATAAAAAAAAAGTATTATTCTCAATATGAATTGTTATCAAAAATGACAATATTAACTTTTAGGGATTTTATCAACAATTTTGAAAAACTGGAATGCTAGATATTAATAGCACCTTTAATGCTTTAATTGAATTATTGCGATGTATTTTTCTCAAAAATTTTCTTTATTTGTCCTTTAATTTAATTGATAAAAGCAATATGTTCATTAAATTCTAAATATTTGGTATTGATAACTAACAATAGTACAAGTAATTAAGGAGGTGGCATATTTTTGAACATGAAAGCCAAGTATTTGATTATTTATAAATAAACAATTAAAACTAATCTTCCTTCTGAATTAGTTGGAATATATATTTTCTTTAATTGATATTGGGATTAATTTNTAATTACAACAAGATATAGTTTAAGAACAATTTTTTTCATTTAGAAATTGATGGTAATTACATTGTTGATTCAAATTAAGCTTTGGATATTCTATTTTTTGAAGTCCCTCAATTAAATAAATCTATTATCTTTTATGATAATCTTAGCCTTACTCCAATATTTATCTAAAAAATCTTGAGGTTTGAATAATATTTTTTTGAATTGATTTGTAATTAAATAAACATAGATTTTTCTTTTATTTTTGTTTGTGAGAATAAAACTTGAGAATAACCAAATTTTGATATATATATCAATATCAATTTCAAATTTATATAAAAAGATCAAAAAAAAATTAAGCTAATATCTGTATAATCAACAAGAAAGTAATAGAATTAATAAACTTCAAGTATAGAATTGATTAATTTTTAAATTATGTAGATTATATTATTGCATTTGTATTAAGGCCATTATTTCCATTAATGTCAATGAATTTCAAATGTTATATCATAATATAGATCGAACAACTTTTGTTTGAAATTGTTTTAAACACATAATCTTAAAGATTCAGCTTGAGCTTTAATTCACTTAGCCTCAATTCAAGAGTATATAACAATAAATTTCTTCTGTTCTTAGAATGCTCCTAATAACTCTTCAAATTCATTTATATTTTTGATTTGAGACCATCACATTACTGGATTATATTATTTAAAAACATAATCTAACTTTAGAATATGGCAATTGTACTATAATATACAATTAGACAATTATTTACATTAATTTGAGTAGGAGTAAATCAAATTAATGATATAATAAACTTTCAAAATAAAAATAAATGCGGAGATATTTTAATATCTGTGTCTATAATTACTTGCTTTAATTGTTAGATTAAGATATAATTGCATTGAAAAGTTCAGTATTTGAAATTATATTAATTTAAGAAATTTAACAATAAATTCTTCAGAATATGATCTAAGTTAAGAAATAAATAACTCAGGATGCATTACTATCGATTCATCTAATAGTTTGCTAAATTTCAACATGATTAATGTTGTATTTTTTAATATTTATAATTGTATTGTAGCATGAATTTAGACAATAATTCCTTCTTTTTAAAATAAAAATCAAACTTTTAAAATATGATAATTAAAAATTTTATTTCATTGTGACGTCTTATAAAAAAAAAGTATTATTCTCAATATGAATTGTTATCAAAAATGACAATATTAACTTTTAGGGATTTTATCAACAATTTTGAAAAACTGGAATGCTAGATATTAATAGCACCTTTAATGCTTTAATTGAATTATTGCGATGTATTTTTCTCAAAAATTTTCTTTATTTGTCCTTTAATTTAATTGATAAAAGCAATATGTTCATTAAATTCTAAATATTTGGTATTGATAACTAACAATAGTACAAGTAATTAAGGAGGTGGCATATTTTTGAACATGAAAGCCAAGTATTTGATTATTTATAAATAAACAATTAAAACTAATCTTCCTTCTGAATTAGTTGGAATATATATTTTCTTTAATTGATATTGGGATTAATTTATCAAAGTTGGAATAATTTTGGAATTATTATTTAAAAAAAAAATTTAATTCAATATAATTGATAAGAGTATTTAAATGCTTTATGTTAATGCCACAAGTATTTGATGCCATTAATTCTAAGTACTTTTTGGATTAAAAATATATTTATTAATTATAAATCTAAAGTGTAGTAAATGGGTTGATTACCTTCAAAAATAATAATACTCTATAATTTAATCCAATTAAAACTAGACTAAAATAGAACTTAAACATTAATAAAATTTTGCTAGAAAGTTAAAAAATATTATTGCTGGCAATAATAACTATCAATTAAATAAGTGATTTTTCATTTCTTTTGTAGCATCAAAGCTACCTTCTTGGCAAATATTGAGCTAAATTTTTTTATTCGAATAAAAATATTGTATTCATGGTTAAGATAATTGTTGTTTTTTTCCAAATTAATATCACTTTAACAGTCGATTTTCTTTTATCATTGATCTCTTGTTTATTAACTATATAGTATTGTGTGCATCAATTTTGTAGTTTAGTAAATACTTCTTTCAAAATCAAATTATGATATTTAATTATTCTTGGAAATTTTGTATAAATATACCTTTCCTCTTATGAATTAACAACATTTTCTGTAACTAGAATTTATCTTTAAAAAAATCTAAATTTTGTTATTTAGAATTTAAAAAAAAGAGAAGAAATATTTACTATAATGCAAGCCATAGATAGTTATTGCAAAAATAACATTCTACTTACCACTTACTTAATCTTACTTTATAGGTGCCAATAGGCTTAATGTTGCCCATCGTAAAGGCCTTCTACATATTCTGTGATAAATGTTGAGAATAAAATTGTTATTGGATTGCTTCACTCGCTCACCTAGAGCAGTAAGTATGAAATGATGTTGGAAGTAGTGTGCCTGTCTTTAGGTTCATTTTCTGAATGATATTCCATCCGAATCACCTATTTTTCTGATTAAAATGAGGAATAATATAATGCGCTCACTCTCAATAGAATAGACTTAGATTGATTCTGGACAAATTACCAGAATTTTTTAATTGACAAAGTAGTTTCTAGATGAGATATTATCCTTGATATTATTATTAGAGATGTTAGGAGAATGTTAGAATCTTATACTATAAGATTTGAAGAATTTCTTTCAAATGCCCTATTAATTTTAAAGTTTTGAAGATCGAATTATTTTGATTATGACACAAATAAAAAATAAAAAGCTCTCACTATAATAACAATAATAATTTAAAACAATAAAAGGTTTTTAAAATGAATTAAAGTTCAAGAAATAGAATTAATTTCGACTATAATATACTAAATTATAGCAAAAAAATTAAACATTTATGATCTATCGAAATTAAATAATTTTGATTCTTAATTTTAATAAATTTAATAAACACATTAGATTCAAAAGATATTGCTATCAAATATTTTTTATCAATTGAATTTTTATATTCTATGATTTTGAAATTAGAAATTCGCTGATTTATGAAATTCTATTTTTCTAAATCAGCAAAAGAATATTTGAAATACAATTCTGAAATTCAAATTTAAGTTGTTTTTGATATGGAGTTAATATTAAATTACGAAATTACTGAAGCTTATATAATAATATTCATAAATTAATTTAAGAATTATTTTATTGATTATTTTCCTACATTATTATTATTATTATTATTCTATTTACACAAAAATAGATTCAATCAATCAGTTAGAAACTATGCAATTATTTTATTAATCGATTACAATATTTATTTTTTTATCCTTATGATTAATATTTGGTTTGAGCAATATTTCTTAAATTCATTTTAAACTTGGAGGTATGGAAGCTTGAACCATAATTGATAATATGTCGATATGAGAGATTGCAATAATAGGACTTACATATATTAGAGTAGAGGCTAAATAAATAATTAGGGAGGCTTTTGTAAATCGGTTTCTGTCAAGTAAATAATGATATTTCCCAAAATTAAGCATGAAAAAAAAAAATTTAATTTTTTAATTAAATTTCTTAATTCTAATTAAGTAAATTGTAAAGCTTTTATTAAGACTATTTTTCAATTCTCTAAATTTATAATAATTTTTAATATCAATTAAAAAAATAATCAAAGGTGATTGGTATGTTACTTTCAATATGAAATATCATCCAATCTAATTATTTTACTTTATCATTCAATATTCTTTGAAGTATCTTTTGTTATAAAAAATATCTTTTGCTATTTCTAAACTAACATTACTAAATTATAAATTATTTGTTAAGACTAATCTGATCTTTATTTTAAACTCTTCATTTAGCAATCGGTTCTTTGTTTAGATTATTTATTAAAAGAAGTATCGTTTATAATTAAATCTAAATAAATGTAAATTGATAACATTTATGTGATAATAAATTAAATAATCCCTGCACTAAACTGATCGTGTACTTTTATAATATTTAGATAAATGTGGTGTATACATTAAAAAAAACTTTAAAGAATAAAAACTTACCTAGCTTTATGGGTTAGGAGTGATACTAATAAAGACAGAATTAAAACTAAATAGAAGAGATTGATTGGAAATATAATTGTTTGTTTGATAATGATCAAAATCACTTTTTCTATAAATCTTCTATAAAGCAGCTTCCTTTTTATTTAAAAAATGTCTTTAAATCTATACCCCATTAATTTATAAACTCTCCTTTAAGGATTAAAGCTCCTTTGGCTTAAAATATTTTTTCTTGGGATATAAGTAGTGTAGTGATGTAATTTGAGGCTTAAAATATGATAGGGAATATATAGTACCTTCGGTAATATGATTATGACATTGGATTGGAATCATAAATTATGCAAGAATATCTTTATAGTTTTTATCAAAGGATTTAATTTCTTAACCTGTCTTTACATCCCATAGACGGATATACTTATCATGACCAGAAGCTAATGTATTTCCATCAGGAGAGAAACAGACTGAGTAGACAGTTCCACTATAACCATCTAATTTGGCTTTTTATTATCCTATTTTGACATCCCATAGACGGATAGAGTAATCATAACTACCAGAAGCTAATGTATTTCCATCAGGAGAGAAACAGACTGATTAGACCCATTCACTATGACCATCTAATTTGGCTTTTTATTATCCTGTTTTGACATCCCATAGACGGATAGACTTATCATCACTACCAGAAGCTAATGTATTTCCATCAGGAGAGAAACAGACTGAGTTAATACAACTAGTATGACCATCTAATTTGGCTTTTTATTATCCTGTTTTGACATCCCATAGACGGATAGACTTATCATCACTACCAGAAGCTAATGTATTTCCATCAGGAGAGAAACAGACTGAGTTAATACAACTAGTATGACCATCTAATTTGGCTTTTTATTATCCTGTTTTGACATCCCATAGACGGATAGACTTATCATCACTACCAGAAGCTAATGTATTTCCATCAGGAGAGAAACAGACTGAGTTAATACAACTAGTATGACCATCTAATTTGGCTTTTTATTATCCTGTTTTGACATCCCATAGACGGATAGACTTATCATCACTACCAGAAGCTAATGTATTTCCATCAGGAGAGAAACAGACTGAGTTAATACAACTAGTATGACCATCTAATTTGGCTTTTTATTATCCTGTTTTGACATCCCATAGACGGATAGACTTATCATCACTACCAGAAGCTAATGTATTTCCATCAGGAGAGAAACAGACTGAGTTAATACAACTAGTATGACCATCTAATTTGGCTTTTTATTATCCTGTTTTGACATCCCATAGACGGATAGACTTATCATCACTACCAGAAGCTAATGTATTTCCATCAGGAGAGAAACAGACTGAGTTAATACAACTAGTATGACCATCTAATTTGGCTTTTTATTATCCTGTTTTGACATCCCATAGACGGATAGACTTATCATTACTACCAGAAGCTAATGTATTTCCATCAGGAGAGAAACAGACTGACAATATACAACTAGTATGACCATCTAATTTGGCTTTTTATTATCCTGTTTTGACATCCCATAGACGGATAGACTTATCATCACTACCAGAAGCTAATGTATTTCCATCAGGAGAGAAACAGACTGAGTAGACAGTACTAGTATGACCATCTAATTTGGCTTTTTATTATCCTGTTTTGACATCCCATAGACGGATAGACTTATCATTACTACCAGAAGCTAATGTATTTCCATCAGGAGAGAAACAGACTGACTTTATACAATTAGTATGACCATCTAATTTGGCTTTTTATTATCCTGTTTTGACATCCCATAGACGGATAGACTTATCATAACTACCAGAAGCTAATGTATTTCCATCAGGAGAGAAACAGACTGAGTTGACCTTACTACTATGACCATCCAATTTGGCTTTTTATTATCCTGTTTTGACATCCCATAGACAGATTGAGCAATCACCATTTCCATATTCTCTACCACCTCCAGAAGCTAATGTGTTTCCATCAGGGGAAAAGCAAACTGATGCTACATCATCTCTATGACCATTTATTAAAAACAATTCATTAATTCTTAAGTCTTTCCATTTACAATTAAATAATTAGGCTCCATTCAGATTAATTCCGCTTATGTTGACATCTTTTAATTAGGATCCACCTAAATTACATCTACAAAAATTAGCTCCTACAATAGATGTATTTTAAATCTTAATATTTTCAAAACTTTTATTTCTAAGGTCCACCTTCATTTAAACTAATATATGTAATGAATTTGACCCACATTGTATAAAAGTTTCATCTATGGATGTGAGTTGAACTAAATATTCCAAAAATTTAATGATCATTCTATTATCCTTGATACTATTAATTAAACTTTATGTGGATTCTTCATTTTCTTCAGAGGAAAAATCTATCTTATTGAAGTCATGATCTTTTAATTTTCTTAAGACTTCTGTGATTTTTTTGATTTCATTTCTAACAACAGACAATTTCTATTCTTTATCAGCCTGGGTGATATCAACCCCTTTTTGTAAGATACATGATTCTAATTGGCTTTGATTCTCGTTATCTGAAAGATATCCAATGCTGTCTTAAACTTACTCCTTTCGAAATATTTCTAATATAGCCCCAAAGATTTGTATATCTACATCTTTTACATGACCAAAGATGTCAGCTAGAGCTTCCTTCTCTTAAAAATGGGCTTGCATATTCTTTTTTATTTTTAATAATGAATTTCTATTACTCTATCTTTAATTTATATACTGCAAAATCGATAAAAGTATCTTGTGCATTTCTGTAAAATAGAAGTTAGGACTTTGTGTAGATTTGGAATTGATTGTAGTAGATGTTAATTATACTATTGAGAATTCATTTCAATATCTACATTACTTGATTTTATAATAATATAGAATATAATTATTTTATATGACTATTTTAATTTATAAAAAAATTGAGTTCTATGATTAATTCATAAATTTTTCTTGTTTATCTTTAAATTTTAAGCTAATTGTTTTAATATTGGAATATGTGTAAGGTATGTTACTGTGAATGATCAATTTTCTGTAATAGTGTTTATTAATTTATAAAATAGTAAACCCCATCTTTGAAAAAAAACAAAAGGAAAAAGTGAAGATTTATTTTTTGGAGGGGTGATTGTTTATATTTATGTTGACTATATTATGATATAATAATTGCTAAAATCTATTATGACCCTTTTGATAGAGATTGTCATGTCTCCTGGGAATTTTTGGTTATAAACAATAATTAAGGGGGAAAAAACATTAATACCTTGATATATATTGTGATTAATTTTTTTATATATATAATATTTTTTGGATATTTTATTATAATTTCTAAAATCTGGTATAACCCCTCAGATATAGGTTCTCTAGTCTCCAGGAA